TGAGGAGAGAAGCGTGGAGCACATGAAAGGTTCTGTGGAATCTGGAATATTCTAGAAGAAACTCCTGACTGGGGGAACATAGTAATATAGAAGGTCACTGCCTCTCCCCACCACCTGCTTTGGAAAGACTAGGAAATTAACAGACACACACACACAAAAAAAAAAATGTTGAAAGTTTATCTAAATCCCAACTGTTACATCCAACGTTTTTTAATGACAAGCAAAATCAATATAATCGTTCTTCAAAATATAACTTTAAATTTTTTTCAACATGTATTTTTCCATCATCAGTTTAATGTTTCAGATTTCTTCCACCCTAACTCCAACTTCGTGATAAATATTCCCCTGTACATTTGCAAGTGCAAATGATGTCAAAGAGTGTATTTCCCTAAATATAAGTAAGTTATGGGGCTGTATATTCTCATGGGCTTTCTAGTTTAGAGTGTAAGAGACAGGAGGTGTACAGCGTGCAAAGGACCTTAAGGTCATATCACTTATTTGCTGTTGACGGGCGGCATTTTTACCTGTCAGTTAGTCCCCTACAGTTCATTGATAACCATGTTAAAACCAACCTTATGAATAATTTGATTCCTCCCGCTTTCCCAGAGAACCATAAATTGTAGTTATTTGGTATCGTGTGTAATCATCTTCATAGAAAGTGAGCTTTAAAATTTTATGCTGCACATTTTGTAGCGTTATCCAAAAATGCTTAAATGTTTGGGAGGCTGGCATTATACCAGATGAACGAAGAAATTATTCTCAGCCCAGATTTTCAGTTCTGACCTCTGATTTGTATTCTTACCGAATCCCTAAGAGATGAGATTCCACAGAGTAGAATTAAAGCATGGTTCGCTCCTAAACTAAAAACATAATCAAAATCGATCTTCTATCCGCATTTCTTGGCAAAACCCATCGAAAAGATTAGAGTTGTAGGGGGTATTGATTGCTGGGATTTTCCCCGTGAATAGTTTAAATAATGCCTCTTTGTCTTTCACTTTTACGGGATGTTCTTTTGGCAACATAACTGGGAAGTAAACATCCTCCAGGCCAGTTTCCCCTGAGTCTTCTTTGCAGAAGGAGACCAGCTGGGCATCCCGGGGTCCCAGGAGACCAGCCATGCTCCTCTATGTCTGACAAATAAGGCCAAAATAATAGATCTCTCAGCTTACGGCCATCTCACATATTTAGGGAATGGTATCTTTTTCCATCGAGATTCATGATCTAGATTTTCAGCTACCTGGAGGAACACAGGATATTGTTCTAGCAAGTGGTACATTAATATGACCTTTTCCTGTTCAACTTCAGCGAGCAGACTGAATAAAAGAGGCATGAAAACACACAGTTGGAGGACAACAACAAAACCTTCTTCACATTTCAAAGACAGGGTGGCAGAGAGAGAACCTCTTGCATTTAGAAACTGTAGAACCATTCAGGGAAGGTTTTGTATACGGTACTTATGACAGTATGTTTCTTGAAGCCCAAATTTTAGTGTTCTTCTAAATCATTCAGCAGACACCTTCAAAAAGGTCAGTCTGCATTTTTTACAACTGTGAATTTTAAAAACCATATTTCCATGTTAGGTCGAGAACTTAGAAACTAAATTCTGAAATGAAATTAAAGATGTTGGCATAGAAGGATTCCTGATTAACCGTAGTTGTACTAGTAGGTTCTTTATAGGATAGCACACACATTGTGTGTGTAATAAACCACACCACTTGCATAAAAGTTGGCATATGGTCTCAGGATTTGTATCATGAGATAACTGACTATTTTTAATGCAAATTATAGCTTACACACAACTTTTGAGTTCCTGAGGTTTGGGAGGCTTCCTTGGTCTTATAATTAGTGTAATTCATAGAAATTGATTACCTGAAGAGCTGTCAGATCTTTACTGCTTTATGTTATGGGATGACTTTTTTTCTTTAAAAAAATATTTTCATTCTAACTTCTAGAAATCATGCAGGTTAAAAGAGGGGTTTGCAATTTTCTGGGAACTTTATGCCTCTTGGTGGAGAATTCATTGTAATAGAGTATGGGGGACTCTGTGTGAAATAATGGCCTCTTTGGAAATGCTCGATGTGTAGCGAAATGAATGTATGCTGCCCTCGCAGAAATAAAAATATTGATCTTAGGAGCCCTACAGCCTAAAGACTACAAGTTATTGGAAAATAAAGAAATCTTGCCTTTCTGTTTCAGCAAGACCCAACTGTTTGGTATTTATAAGAGCTTCACTTTAAATATAAAAGGAGTAAAGGCATTGATAGATTAAAAAGTTAACAAAGTACAAAGTTTTGAAGTATTCCATAGGTTTTATAAAATTGCATCTAGATAGAAAGAATATGTTCCAGTGTTTTATAATACTGCAGGGTGACTAATTTACATTTTCAAATAGTTAGAAGAGAGGAAGTTAAATCCCCCCAACACAAAGAAATAATAAATTGTTGAGGTGATAGTTACAATGATTACCTTGATTTGAGATACATAGCACCATGTATGCCATAAATGTGTACAATGATTGCATCAAGAAAAAAATCGTTTTTAAATTTAAATTTTTAAAAAGTAAACAGAAAAAGATATACCATACTTCAGCCATAAATTATAAATTACAGAACAACTGGCATGGCACTACTAATATCAGACAAAGAATTAAAGACAGGGAATATCACAACAAGAAAAGACGAAGTATTTAATGATAACAGAGCCCATTAATCAGGAAGACGTAACAGTTCTAAATGCATTTGCAATCAGTCACCACAGAACCCAAGAACACATTGAAAATTAAAATAACTGCTGGAAGAAGTAGGGGAAAAAATAAGTATAGTTAGTTCTTTTAACTAACAATAAATAATCATGCTCAGTAATTGATGGACTGGGAGACCAAGATCAGACAAATAGAGAATAGCACTCACAACCCATACTCAATGGGTATTTATAACAAATTTCACCTAATAACTATAGAATACAAATTCTTTTTAAGGGGACATAGGACATTCACCAAAATACTTTGTGCTAAATATAAAATTATACATAGTATGTTCTTTGACAACTATAGAATTACATTACAAATCAATACAAATTGTACCTTTAAAAATTCTCAAACATGTTGAAATTAAACAGTGCACATCTAAATAATCCATGGGACAAAGGAATAATCACAGAAGAAATTAGGAAATACTTCAAACTGTATGAAAATGAAAATCTAACATATTAGTTTTGGAAGTTGAAGTTAACGCAGTGTTTAGAGAAGAATACAGAGCTTTAGATGATTATTTTAGAAAAGAATAATAGTCTAATCTTCATGATCTAAGCTTCTGCTTTAAGAATCTAGAAATAGCCCTTCTCAGCCTTTTGGCTAAGATCAAGTAATCTAGAAAAGAAAAAACAAATTAAACCAAAGTAAATGGAAGGAAAAAATAAAGATATAAATAAGAATCATTCAAATGGAAAGCAAACAAATAGAAGAAATAAATCAATAAAACCAAAAGCTAGTTCTTTGAAAATGTCAATAAAATGATAAAATTCTGGCTAGATTGATTTTAAAAGGATAAGACACATTATCAATATCAGAAATGAAAAAGAGAACATCACTACAGGTCCTATAGCTATGAAATGAATAAGAAAATATTATAAAGAATTTTAAACCAGTAATTTTGAAAATGTGAAAGACAAAGATTATCAGGGGTGTCACACAAAAAATTCTGCACAGCTGTATACTAACTTCAAAAATTGTATTTGTAATATAAAGTTCTCCCTCAAAAAAAAAATCTAAGTCTAGATGCCTTCACTGATAATTTTTATTAAACTTTTAAGGCAAGAATAATACCAATTTTACACAAAGAAAATAAAGAAAAAAGGAACATTTTCCAACTCATTGTATGAAACAAGAATTACACTGATTGATATCAAAACCAAGCAAAACATTTTAAAAAATAAAATGTATCCCTTATTAATAAAGATACAAAAATTCATATCAAAATATTAGTAAATTAAACTCAGTAATATATAAAAAGGATAATATATCATCACAAAGGATTTATTCCAGGAGTGCAAAGTTAATAGAACATTCAAAAATCAACCAAATCATTGTATCAAACCAAATAAATAAGAAAACCATATGATCACCACAATAGATTAGAAAACAACACTTAAGGGCACTGAATATCCATGCATGAAGAAAAGTCTTATCAAATTATGAATTAAAGGGAACTTTCCCAACCTGATAAAGGACATCTACAAAAAATGTAGAACTTATTTCATACTTAGTGATGAAATAATAAATGCTATCTGCTCACACCACTTCTATTCTATTCAGCTTTATACTGAATGTTTTAGTCAGTAAAATAAAGTAATAATAATATTATTATTACAGTAGACATATAGATCAGAAATGAAACAATTTCCTCTTTCCTACTAGTTTCCTGAACCCATCTTGGGGTAATGAATTCTCTAGTCTGAGTTGACTCTTCTTGGCTGAATTCCCCTGGATTAAAAAACCCAGGAAGTGGCTTGGCCACTTGCACCCAGACTGGTGGGTTCCAACCTGGCTGGGGCCTGCTAAACAGCAATGAAAACAACAAAAATAGCCAGGTGTTGTGGCGGGTGCCTGTAGTCCCAGCTACTTGGGAGGCTGAGGCAAGGGACTCACTTAAGCCCAAGAGTCTGAGGTTGCTGCAAGCTGTGACGCCATAGCACTCTACCCAGGGTGACAGAGTGAGACTCTGTCTCAAAAAAAAAAAAGAAAAATCACATGTCCACTTCACTTATGAAGATAGACAGATAGGTAAAATAATAATTGAACAAAATCCAGCAAATACATCATGTACATCATGGTCCAGTAGGGTATGTATCAGGATTGCAAAGATGGTTCATCCTTAGAACATCTATCAGTGTAATTTATCACATTCACAGATCAAAGGAGAAAAATCACATGATTATCAAAATTTGTGCCTAAAAATTATATGATGAAAACAATACCTATTCATGTTTTTTTCCCCCCAACTCCACGTTCCCCCATTCATGATTCAGACCAGGCATGGGGCCCGGGCTGGGATGCACATGAGGTAAGTCTACCTTGTCTTCTCTCTATATACAGTCAGTGTGAGAACATGGTCTGTTCTAAGCACCAAGAGGTCCTATTTATTGTTTTTGAAATAATTCTTAGCAAACTAGGAATAGGAGAGTACTCCCTTAACTTCACTTAAGTTAGATAACAAAAACTTACACCAAAATGTATCTTCAATGAAGAAACTTTGGACTGGTTTCCTTTAAGATCAGAAACAAGACTAGAATGGCCACTCTCACCAGTATTATCTTACATAATACCAGAGGTGGAAGAATTAGAAGGAAAGAGATGAATCAGTCATTTGTAGATGCTATAATCATCCACTTAGGAAAAGCACTAAATCAGTGAGCAAAATATAGCAAATGTATAGGACAAAATCACTGCTGACATAATAGAAAATTTAAAACATGATAAAATTTTGAGTAACTCTATGCAGCTAAATGTAAAGGCACTGATGAAATAAATATTTTTATTTAAAAATAACCAACAAAGTAATAAGAGAGTTCAGCAAGGTTGCTAGATTAGGGGACACCAGTAACTAAAAATATACATATTTTAAAAGATTTTATTTGCAATAGAAAAAAAAGCCATAATATATCCAGGAATTAACAAAAAATAAACAAGAGAAAACTTTAAAATGGAGAAAATTTTTTTAAAAAAATGGAGAAACTTTCAAAATGCCAATAAAGTATGTATACTATGCATATATCACAAATGTATAAATGGAATGGCTCTCATGTTCTTAGATATTTATTTAATATTATGAAAATGTCAATTGCTCCCAAATTACTATACAAATTCAAAGCAATCCCAATCAGAGGTCCTTACAGAATTGGGTTTTTTTTTTTAAGAATCTAAAATTTTACATATAAATAGGGACACAAACCATGATTAGCTAAACCAACCATGAAAAAGAAGGGTTTACATCATTAGAGCCATTACAGAGCCAGAGGAAGAAAGAAATTAAATGAGATACTATTATAAGAGTAGGCAAATAGACTAATGAGATGGAGATAGATTCACATATATGTGAGAATCTAATATATGACAAAGGTGATTCCACACATCAGTTTGGATAGGAGAGATTATTTGAATGAATACAGTTGGGAAATCTTGCTTAATACATAGGAAAAAAAATCATATTCCTACCTATCACCATATTTAAAAGTGAACTCCACATAAATTAAAATCTAGTAGTGAAATATGAAATTATAAAGTCAACACAATAAAGCATAGAACATTGTACTTATAGCCTATGAGAAGGAAACAACTTTTCTAAAAGAAACTTTGGTAGCACAAATCACAAAAAATAAAATGGGTAAATTTAATTACATCAAAAGTGAGGATTTTTAGTCCATGAAAGACACTATGGACAAAAATTAAAGCAAGATCATAGACTAGGAAAAGTTAATTTCAATGTCCAAAACTAACAAGAGATATCTGGAATACTCAGAGAAGTCCTGAAAATCAAAAGAAAAGGACAGCCCCAATAGAAAAATGGGAGAAAGCTTGGAACAGGCAGAAGAGGAATTCCCAAAGGCAAATAAAAGACACTCAGATATATTAGTAATCAGAGATTGATAATTTAACCAGGAATAAGATCATTTTACATCTATGGGAAAGCCAAAAATTAGTAAGTGGGTTGACTCCAAGCATTGGAAGGATATGGAGATGTAAAATTTTCATGCACTACTGGTAAGAATATAAAATGCTATAGCATTTCTGGGGACAACTTGGCTATTCTTACACAAAATAAGAATATATGATCTCTATGATCCTGTAATGTCACTATGGATATAAATCCCCAAGAAATTCCCAAACAGATCCCAAACTAGGCATGTACAAGTATCTCCAAAAAGGGACATACGTAAAGATGTGGTTAGTAGCTGCAGTGGGTGGTTGGAGGTCATCTAGGATCCCAGGGCTGTTCACATGGCAGGTTGTGGACTGTGTACTGCAGTTAGAAGCAGTGACGGGGATATCCCCTTAGCTACGTGGATGGATCTTAACCTTGGTGCTCAGCAAAGAGCCAAGTTCACATGGCAGGTTGTGGACTGTGTACTGCAGTTAGAAGCAGTGACGGGGATATCCCCTTAGCTACGTGGATGGATCTTAACCTTGGTGCTCAGCAAAGAAAGGAAGAAACAGAATCTGTATAAATTAAATTTGTGTAAAATTTAAATGCATGCACGCAAAACAAGACCGCACATTTTTGTAAGACCCTCACAACAAAAACAAACATGTTAAAAACTTTAGAATTATTCCCTGTGTCAGGGAGGGGAATAATGGTGAGATTGGGATAAAAGAAAATAGGTAAGGGAAAGAAAAACAGGAAGACAGTAGCATAAAGAGATTCTACAGACACACACATGCCCACGTTGAGACATCAGGTGCATTCGCAGTCATGTGCGAATGATCAATTACGATATGTCCACTAAATGGATTGCTAAGATCATGTAGAAACTATGTGAATGCTTATAGGTTGTTCAATTTTAAAATATAAGGTACAAATTATATCACAAAATGAATGTGATCATTTTTCTAAAAAGCAAAGAGTCAAAGAAGAAAGAAAACATAAAACTAAAATGCTACGAATGGTAATATTAAGACAGGTGAGATTATGGAAAATTGTTTTCCTTTTTCTCTTTATTTACTTTGTTATGTTTACATTTTTAAAACCTTTTTTCCACGTCCTCTGTTTCAGGATCTCTTTGTAATCTGTACCCTATTTTTCTTTCTTTCTAACAGTATACCGATCATTTACAAACAAATACAGAAGAATAAAACCGAGTAAAGAAGAATAAAACCTGAACGTAAAGTGAATCTAGACAATTTGCCAATCTCCAAACTGACTGAAAAGTTGGTCACAATTATGAGCAGCTTGGCTCATGGCTTCTGGTTTTCGGCATGATTCTGAGTGAGCGATCTCGATGCTGAAGTAAGTGTCTTAGTTCTGCTTAACAGGGTGAAGTCTTTGGAGAACTTTGAGAATTGGAATTGTATTTACAGGAACATTAACCTTAGACCTTGAAATATTTGTGTTGAAAAGCTGAATCTATGCCCACAATTGCTGTGGTCACTCATAAAGATTTTTACTGTGTTCTCAAGGCTAGGACAGCATGGGGAGGGAAGGGAGAATAGTTTGGGGTTTTTTTTTCCTTTTTCTTTCTCTCTTTTAAATTTTTTTAGTGACCATCTTCCGATTTTCAGATAGATGCTAGCATAGAGACTTATCTTGAGAAATTGTGCCGTAGCATCTGTTTTCATTCTTCTCTTCTGGTAATCTTAAACATTATCAAAGAAAAAGAACCATATCAATGGGGGAAAAAAATTAATGTTAAAGGGAAAGTGACCAGGGATGACTTTAGACTAGTCAAATGTTTCTGTTTTGTTTAGATCTGGAGCCTGGTCTATTTTGTCACTTTCTAGTTTAAATTCCAATCGTTATTTGCAGAGATGTATAAAGCATACATTATGAATGGAGACAAAACTGTGGGATTTAATTTACCAAGGGATCCTTTCACAGAAGCTATACATAGCTCCAGACATCAACTTTAGACCAGCAAGGAAACCCCAGAGAAAAGAAATAAATCTCAAATATTGTCCACAGATGTGCAGTAATCAGAAACCTCCCATATAACACTGGAGTGTTTGGTTTTTTTCTTTATCCTCCTAAATTTTCCCTGTGTCTCTTTCTTCTCTGCTGTCACTTGTTCCTATCTCTCGAGACACATAATGAAAGGATGTCTCTGGGTCTTATCAGACATCTGTGGTTTTCCCTTCCCTCCATAACTGTCAGGAAAAAGAAAGTGGGTAGTAGTTATCTGCAAAGTATCCTGTATTTCACCTTTATTATCTGTATGCCAGGCCATCTTAGATCTGGCCCCTTGACAATAATAAAGAGGAAATCTTTTTAAGGAATTGATCTACCCCTGCTGCCTGTTCTTCCTGAGAGGACGTGATCCTTTTGTTTATTACAGAGTAATCATCCTTATACCAAAGTGTGTGATGCAACATGCTAAAGCAGGTTCTGAACTTTTAATCCAAATTAGCGACAGAGAAACACCTGGAGGAGTTGCATTTGTTTGTTTGTTTGCTTGTTTTTGAGACAGTCTCACTTTGCTGCCCTTGGTAGTGTGCTGTACCATCACAGCTCACAGCAATCTCCAGCTCTTGGGCTTAGGTGATTCTCTTACCTCAGCCTCCCAAGTAGCTGGGACTACAGGCGCCCACCACAACGCCCGGCTATTTTTTTGTTGCAGTTTGGCCGGGACCGGGTTCAAACTCACCACCCTCAGTATATGGGGCTGATGCCCTACTCACTGAGCCACAGGCACCACCCCACATGGAGAAGTTTTGAGTGTTCTGCATGGAAAGTGTCCAGGGAAGGGATCAGGTCACTTTAACGCTTGGCCACACAAAGAACCATGATAGTATGTTGCATTTAAACAGATTCCTCAGTGAGAAGATCAAAGAAATGGGTGCCACTTCCCTTCATACAGTGTTTTTAATGAACATCTCGAGAGACACAGGTGATGGGAAGAGTTTGAACTTGGAGGTTAGACAGACTTGAGTTTGAATTCCACCCTCTTATCTACCATTATCTGCTAGTGGTGGCCCTGGAGAAATGACTGAGCCTCTGCGTCTCAGTGTTCATGTCCCCTCTCAGTATAGAGAAGCTGGGGCAGCGGGGTGCGGAGTGGAGCTGGGCAGGAAGCAATCATACCTACCATGAGGACAGTTCTGAAAATTAAGTAGAGAATCTAGTACAAAGACAGAAAAAAGTTGTCACTCAATAAATAAATACTAGAATTCCTTTTAAATGGAGTTTTATTGCCCACCTGAGCAATTGACAATAGTGGCTTTGATCAATGGTTCTTGAAGTATGTTTGGGGGGAACCCTAAAATTCCTAAGAATTTTATAATAATACACAGATATTATTTGTTTTTTCCACTTTCATTCCTTTTCAAGTGTATGTAGAGTTTTCAAAGGGAGCATGACGTGTGATGTTACAGTAGACTGATTGCAGATGTGACACAAGTCAGCATACCTTAGATTAAGCCAAACAT